GTCACAGCCAAAAAATACACTCCAGACACGCCGCTGGCACTAGAGGCACAGCATGGCTGCCTAGTAACGGCCCCGACCACTGCCGCTCGACCTGACCGGAAAAAACCGTAGCAGGAAGCTAGCGAAGTCGTAGCATATATCGTCACAAACAGAACTGCCCGGTAAACCGTAGGCAGAGAGAGAGAAGAGGACAACAAACGAGGGGCTGTAAAAATTTGAGTAATAACAGGTACTGGTGGTTTAAAAGAAAAGAACAAGAAGAAAATAAAACAAGAAAAGCAGAGAACAATTCCAGTCCGCAATCAGACTTGGCGTTTAATTCTCACTCACCTCAGTAGAGACGGGTCGGTGGAGGAGTGAGGCATGAGATTTTGTGAACTCCATCGGATCGTTGCTTTCTCCACTTGGCGGAACCAGTTTCTCATCCCAGCTCACAAAATAGACATCTCCATCCATGTCACTCCCAGAGCATTCGTCAGGATGTGGGCGATGTCCCTTCTGAGGAAATACTAGACAGTCAACTAAATGGTACAATGATGGCTCGTCAACTGCTTCAACGACCCGAACATCACCAGGATGCAGACAGGGGTTCTTTGCAACGATGACCTTGCCTGTAATCACCTTTAACGAGCCTCGCTCCACAAATCCCCTACAGTGCTGCAGCAATTTTTGGCGAGTCACACGGTCGTACCCATTTGCCATCATATCGACTCGATCTGATACCCTTAGGAACACTTGCCCATATTCCAGCTTCGCAAATTCATCAAGACATCCAATCATCCACCTACCCTTCTCCACGAAGATTCGAGCCTTGTTTTGGAGACGAACTAGTTGCAATGCACGCACTGCCAACAGCATACTCTTCAAATGGGGTTCTTTCTTTGGATCAAATCCAGCCCTCAGCATTGCAATTGCAGGTTTAAGGAGGTCCTCATCCAATGTCATCTGCACGTGTTCCAAATGAATGCAATGACTTGCCATCAGCAACGTAATAGATTAATAATGTAACCACCTTTTTTTTTACCCTTTCTCTAAACAGAATCCGCATCCTTATGGTTGAGGCTCCATTCTATTCTGGGGAATGACAGGCGGTTTCTAAGAACATGAAAATATATAAAGTAGAAAGATGGAGCTCTGGGATGAGTGGTGCAAAGGCCACAGCGTGATGAAACGGTTTTCACCTTTTGCAGTCACAGATGCGGATCCCAGGGTTTGATCCCCAGACCTTACCTTACCTTACCAAGTCGACCCTGTGTGTCTTGAACCCGTGACCTGTGTGTTAGTAGTTGAAAGATGTCTGTCATAGGTCTTAGTAGTTGTCGGGTCTTGAACCTTAGTCCTGTCGAAGTAGGGGCCCTACCTGCATAGGGGTCATAGTTGTTGTGGTTTTGAAAGGTCGAGGTCGTAGCTGCTACAGTCCTGAAAGGTCAAGGTCGTAGCTGCTACAGTCCTGAAAGGCCAAGTCCGCAAACTTCCGGAAGGTCCGGAAGTGGCCTTTCAAGTTTCTTCTCACGTTATACACAGCAAACCAGAGGCAAGTGGGCAAGTGGTGAGTCGAACTTCGCTTAGTCAGCAGTACCCAGTCCCAGTCTCACTTTGTACAGTCAGCAAGTACCATGAGGGACTGTGTGCACCATGGGCCTGGTGGAAAAGGGCAGACCAACGAACTACAGAAGTATAAATCAAGAGGCAGCGTCCAGCCATTCATTCATTCCTGCGTGAGCCATGCGGAAGCGCTGTCCTCGCGTCTTGTGCGAGGTGGTCTGCAGATTGCCTGAAGTCGAAGTGCGCAGAAGCCGAGTCAGAGCAGCCATAGATGCCTGTAGTAGAGATAGCCGGCGGCCATAGCTGCCATAGCTAGTGATAGGTACTAGTGTGTATGTGCGTGTGAGACACAGGGTGAGTGTGCGTGGAGTATCCAGGGAGATCCGGAGTTAAGTGTGAGTGTGTGTGAACAGTTAGTCGGGAACACGAGTTAGCCAGCTTAAAGCGAGTTTGCATCTGAACTGTGTTCTCGACTTGAATATCTCTGAGCTTTGTGTGGGCGCACAGCGCCAGTGTACATCTTCATCTGTTTGCATGCATGCGAGTTGACGAAGAAAGTGAGTCTGATTGCATTCGTATCGGAGCTGGTTCCCGCTATTCCACGCGCCATAGCAGAAGCGCGCCATCGAAGAAGAAGGTCGGCCATAGCTGCGCCGTTGAAGAAAAGTGCTGTGTACCTGCAAAGAAGACAACGCGGAGGGGGGGGGAAGAGAGAGAGAGAGAGAGAGAGAGAGAGAGAGAGAGAGAGAGAGAGAGAGAGAGAGAGAGAGAGAGAGAGAGAGAGAGAGAGGGCGATACAAGATTGTTGTGCGGTCCAAGGAAGAAGGTGGCGGCCATAGCCGCCGAGCTCGGACACGGAGTGAACGAAGGAGAGAGAAGACCTGGCGAAGGAGGAGGGAGAGACGAAGAGGAAGGAAGAAGTCATAACCAAGGAGGAGGAAGGAGGGACGACAAAGAAGAAGGAAGCCATAGTCGGGGTGACATGAGAAAGAAGACGAAAGAAGGAAGAAGGGAGGAGAAGAGAAGTAAAGGTTGGTGATAGAGAAGGGGTCGGCAGCCATAGCCGAGTCGAGGGTTGACCAAGGCGTTGACCGAGAGGTTGACCAACGTTGACCAAGACTTTGACCAATGAGTTGACCAGGGAGTTGACTGGCGTTGACCAAGGTGTTGTCCGGCGAGTTGACCAAGCACTGACCAGCGTTGACCGGGGCTGTTGACCATGAAATTGACCAAGCTGGAGTTGGTATACTCTCGCCAAGCCTTCAGCCTATCCCCTCGCCCTATGGATGTGCACTCACCCCATGGTACTTGCTGAGTCTGTTTGTCTCTTCTTTCTGCATTGAGTCTCGTCTGTCCAAGTGATAGGAACTCCGTGTATGAGGTCGTAGAGTTGCGTTGACCAAACCCACACGGGCTGAGTAGGGCTAAAGGCCGTGTCTGACGACTAATTGACCTGGAGGACAAACCCTCCCAAGGACCGGTACAGACCGACGGGCTGCTCAGTGTGGCATGGTAGGCCCAAAATCCGAGTTGTGGGCTGCACAACCAGTTGTCTAAGTGTTCAAAGAGCTCTGCTGATCGCGTCGTCCTGACTGCGACGTTAAAGAATTCATGAGGAGTTATGGGGGATCTCCTTAAATGCCTCCTGATCAGCAGTAGAGCTCTGTAGTAACCTTAGAAGTAGGTCAAGACTAGTGACCCTAGTTGACAGGGTCCTAATCCGGAGAGAAAGCCAAGTGGGATTGACCACAGGTGCAGGGCATCTGGGTCTGGTTTGTAAAGGACAGTGGTGGGGAAAGCTTCCTTCGGCCGTGGTAACTTGGCTGGATCGAAGGGTAAGGCTCTATGGTCCTTAGAGAGTCAGTCAGTCAGTTAAGTCAGTCAGAGGGTGGAAGTGGTGAGGAGTGGAACTATCACTCGGTTGTACATTTGACACCATGGTTGACCTGCGTAGCGGTAAGAGCACCACCCTGTACACCAAAGAGCAAGAAGAGAAGGTCGCCGCCATCCTGAGAGAAAAGAAGGAGAGGATGGACAAGAGGGGGCTTATTAAGCAGGCGAAGATGCTGGACTTGATGGAGGAGCAAAAGGCCAAGCAGAAGCAAATGGAGGAGGAGCTTTAGAAGTGGAAAAAGGAACAGGAGGAGAAAATGGCGGCAATAGAGTCAGAGACAGAGGAAGAAGTAGAGGTACCACTGGAAAGGAGAGGAAGAACAAAAGAGAGAGGGGAATCCAGTGGGGTGTGGGAGGCAGAAGCCAAGATGGAGGCGGAAGCTAAGATGGAGAGGTTGGTGAACGAGTGGGTAGCCAACTTGGCCCTGGGGGAGGAAGACGAAGAGTTGTTGTTTGTCCCTCAGGCAGAGCGGGAACAATTTGCTAGGGAATTGGAGGGTGAAGAGAATCCCATGAAGCGGCAGGCGATGGAGGAGGAGAAAAAGTTAGAGTGGAAACTCCACCTTGCCCGCAAGAGGAAAAAAAGATTGGAGGCGGCCGAGAAATGGAAGAGGATTTGAGGATCGTCGAAATAGAACATGGGAAGTTGGCAGCGCAAGTGGATCTTCAAAGGAAGGTGGAGATCCTGTCACAAAATGTAGAGGTAATGCTGAAGGCGCAGCAGGAACAATTGCGCTATTTAAAGGGCCACGATATTACGCTGCAATCTATGTGCACCGGTTTTAAAGATTTTGCAAAGGATATGATGATGCATGTAGACACCGAATTGCACATAATTATGGAGGGCACACAAAAGTTTTGCGTAGGCGCCATTGAAGACGCCAATATAGTGGGCCCTAAAGAAGAAGAGGTCCGGCCACGTAGAGAGCGGGTGAAGGTCAAGTTCTTATAGTGGGAAAACTAGAGAGGATTTTGATAACTGGGAGGCCAATGTGAACTCCTATGTGCATCTCCAAGATATTGCGCCCGAGGACCAGGTCCTTGTGGCATTTCATGCCCTTAAAGATGAAGCAGCCAGTTTTGCCAGATCGTTAGCCCGCGCTGCCAAATGCGAAAACGATATGGTCGCATACTCCATCCTTACCCCCCTCAGTGAATTCCTCGGCGCCCTGCGAGAGCGTTTTGCAGATGTCACCAGGGGCCTCAGGGCTTCTGACAAGTTGCAAACTGCCCACACGAGACAATGGAAGAGTGCTAGGGCATTGAAGGCCGCCATGGATGAGCTCGTCGCTGTTCCTGGCCATGGGGTCACTGAGTCCCAATTGGTCCAATTGTTCTACCGCGCTATGCCCGAGAAGTTGCATGGGCATTTCTTTGATAGGAAGCAACAACCCAACAAGACATACGATACGCTGAGTAGGGAGGTTGTTGCCTTCGAGGCTCAGTCCATGCCAGTTACCACTTTCTGGTACAAGGACCTCGCCAAAGGGAAAAAGTGGAAAGGCCATTCCATTACCAGTCAGGTCAAGGCTAAAGATAGCCTTATTCTTACATTAGATGAGGGTGGTCTAGAAGAGGTCCTGTATAGCGAGATTGAGTGCCTTATTCTTACATTAGATGAGGGTAGTCTAGAAGAGGTCCTGTATAGCGAGATTGAGTGGGGCCTCTATGAGGAGGAGAGCGACACTGGCCAAGGGAGGACCTATGCTGTTGTCGCGGCCGGAGGGAAGCCGCAAAGGAGAGGAAGAGGTCAGGGCCAAAGGGGCCAGACCTCTGGTGGTCGAGTGCAAAGCGGCCAGGGGGTTGGCAACAGGGGAAACTGCCAAGCGGGAGGAAGGGGTCAAGGTCCCCTGTCAAACTGTTGTCGCTCTAGTCGATCACCTCCGAGGTGGGGTGGATGGCACCCTGGTCCGCCTGAGGGTCGGCCCTGGGAATCATTGGGCTTGGAACAGACAGTGTGGCAGAGGCGAATAGACCAGGATCAGTGCACCTATTGCGGTGATCCTGGCACATCATAAAATATTGCCCTAAATATAGAGAAGCCCGGTTTGCTGCACAAGCAACAAAAGGCAACCGCCGGTAGGGGTTGCAACTGCCCCTACCCCTAGACCATGTGGAGAAGAGTGCACGCACCATAGAGAAACTCCCAAACCACATATGTCTATGGCAGAGGTTGTTGGCCAGTGTCTAGACAGTTGTCCAGAGACTGCTTGTGTTAGTCTCTCTCTAGGCACTTCCCTCACAGGCGTGGCAGAAGAGTTGAAGGAGAAAATGCCTGCCTGGGCCAAAACGAAGAAAGATGTGAAGGGACAATTAGTTTTGGTCGATGTAGAGATTTTCAGAGGTAGAGTAGGGGCCCTTATAGACAGTGGGGCCACCCGCAACTATATTAGCAAGAAGGCACTGCAGAAGCTGAAGCTTAATTTGAAAGTCCAGAAGTTAGTAGACCCTATAGTTAGCATGCTCGCAGACAATCGCACTATCTGAATCGAGGACTATGTTGAGGG